GTCCGTGAACCATCGAGACCTTTTCGGCAAGCTCGACAAGCCGCTTTCCAGCAGACGGAAGATTGTGCATGAGGGTCGTGCTGGCGAAGTTCACAATGTATTCGAGGGCACAGTTATCGCAGTCGTGACGCCAGTGGGATTCAAGCCAGCCTTTGAAGACGTTGTAAACACGCAGACGAACAGGCCCGGCAGTGTGAGGAGTGTCCCCGATGTAGTTGAATCGATCAACCAAAGTCTCCGCAAACTCAATTGGGGTAGCAAAAAGACGGAAAGTGAGATAGAAGGTCGAAACAAACATCGCGTCTGGCGTAGACTGGTGTGCAGTCAGCTTCTCGACGAGCGCGCGTAAACTTCCGCCCATGATCTGGCCATCCTTGAAGATCAGCTCGTGCGCGTAAGTCTTCTCCAGAATGTTGGCTTCTCCTTCTTCCGTTTCCTCGGCTAGGGTAGAATGACTGATGCTGCCCTTAAGAGAGGGAACCTGGTAATGGTTGCCAATGTCGGGCGAGGTCGCGCGAGTGGAAGTCTGGGAGACACCGCTCATCTCCGAGTCACGGAGACGGCTGTTGAATGTAAAGCTACTTCCATTGCTAGTGATGCCTCGGCCAAAGGACTCACTAACATCGGACTTAGCTTGACTGTCCCTATGAGGGGGGATCTCAATGGGTTGGGTATCGTGAGACGAAAAGGATAGCTTATCCAGGCTGGTGGAGAGGTGGCTGGTGGATGGAAAGGAGGACATGTCGGTGCCGGGAGTGCTAGCCCCATTACGCGACTGGAAGGACGAGGGAGTAGTGTCATCCGTCAGACCTGGGGTTGGAGGAGAGTATCGGTTGTTGATGGAGTTGGGAATTTGTAGAGGAGGCGGGGGCAAGCGCAAAGAAGCTTCTTGAGATCGGTTCTGGTGACCAGCAAAGGTGCTTGTCTTCGGGGGTTGCGGGGTTTTGTTGGCGTCGGTCATTGCGCCGGTCGCAGCAGGCAAATCCTGGGGCATTGCCTCCAGCTCGAAATCACCGCATTGCTCCAGCATCAGTCGAGCTTTGGCCAGGCAGCTCCCCGCTGCTCGCACGCAATCAGTGGCGGCATCCACCAAGCGCTTTCCTTCATCAGGCAAAAACACAAGCTCATCATCTGGAGAATGGGCCGGTCGGAAGGCGTCCCGGGCCGCATAGACCAATTCGGAGAGACGCTCATACATAGTGTCTCTAGCTTGCTCCAGGAGCCCACTGCCCTGCGGGTCATGCTCGCAAGTGGCCTCGACGACGGTGAGCAGCGCGCGGCACGAGCGCACCGCCTGCTCCGTGGTCACGACCAATTCCGTCGAGGAGCGGGATTGCAGATGAAGCCCAATAAAGGAGCCCAGCACACCGAGAAATGCATCGTAGGCATCGTTCAGTCGTTCGGACGCGAGGTTGGGGTTGCGGGCAATCGCGGCCGGTCCCGAAGTCGAGACCCGGTGGGAGACGGAAATCCGCTTGGTGGTCACAGACACCGGACGGGTCTGTTGAGAATCGTCCAGGCGAGTGGATGCTCGGCTCATATCCAATCGGCTACGGTTCATGAGTCTAGACTCGTTGCGCTCGGTGTCGGCCTCGGAGCCAGCAGCTTCCGAAATGGGGCGAGTCTCAGAAACCGTAGTGAGTGGGCCTTGCTGGTAGCCTGATTGCTGCTCTAGCTCGGCGATCGTTCTGCTCAGGCCAACTTCCTCGGTCCACACGTCGAGGAAACGAACACCTCGCGTTACAATGCGGAAGGCCTTGAGGAGCATTTCGTCGACCATGTAGTCCATTTCATCCTGCGTCGCATTGCCGCTGGCAACCTCCTGAAACCTCTTGGTGGTCCGGACCAGAGATGAGAGCTCAGCCAGCAACGCCTTGCGATTCCTGCGCAGACCGTCGTGACTGGTGACCAGGATACAATCCCGTGTGAGACATTCAGATTTTTGCTGTGACCCTGTCAGTTATCCTCCGATAAGCACCAGCTAGGAGTCGAACACCTACCAATAAATAGCGCACGCCAGCAATCAAGCCTCGTACAAGATCCTGGTTGCCAGCGTCGTTCAGAGGGAATCCACAGCCTCCTCTGATAATATCCCAAAAGTCGGTCAACGCCTTCAGGAGCGGCCGCATAGGCTGTTGGTCATACGCTTCGCAGTAGTTGGTGGGTAGCCAGCCCCGAGCTCCAGTATCTAATAGTGTACCGTCGGCCCAACCATTGGTGTGAACAGAATGCACTAGAACGATGTCGCCTTGGTCCAAGGGGAGGGTGACAGTCGACGGCGATACATTTCCGGAGGGGTGATAAGGGTAGAATGCACGGAGGTAGTTGTGGAAGACGGCCCTCGGCGTCTCTGATTGCTCCATACTGTCGTCTTTGTTTTCGTAAGGTGTTAACGGAGGGCTCATTTCAAGATTGTGCTGGTAATGATAGTGATGTTGTTGGTCGTCGTAGTTGTAGTTAAGGTTTCCCTTTTCGATCTTCAGTGGCGCAATGTGTCGCTTCATTGATTCCATGTCTCTACTCCTGAGACGGGATCGATGTGGATGTGATAGCCTTCCGCTTGGTAGGTCCAGTCGGACGTCGTGGTCACTGACCAAGGCTTATGCGAGAGAAGACGCAATGATCATTCTCGCACTGTCCTATGAATGGTGGTAAAGGTGAAGAGAAGCAAGTGAGTTGCACAACCGGGGTGTGTCAGTGATGTAGTGTAGACAAAGAAGATGAACGAGCTAGTCGAGATGTGATGATGCGTGTGGCTGTAATGCAATCAATGTCTGTGATAGAAGGTCAATCATGCGGCGCTGCTGAAGGCTGGTGCGAGCCTTGAACATTGACGGTGTGCTTTCTACCCTCAGGCCGGCAAGGGCGTCTGAAGGATGTTTGGGAGGGGATGGTTCTGCATGTCTCCCGGGGAATGTCCGATTCTAGGGAGGGGAATGGAAGGAATGCTGGGGAAGGGCAACCGGTTGCTAACGTACCTTGAACGCGAACCTAGAAAAACGCGGAAGAAAACGAAGGAGGTGCGTGGGCTGAAATTGCAGCGATGCGATCGATATATAGTAGTTGCTCGTCGAGAGTGATTCGGCAGCGTCTCTACTGCAGACACGTTCTTCAATGCGCGGGATCAAAACGAGGAGTGAAGTCGAGCACGAGGAAACCGGGGAATTGAAGAAGGTTTGAGGCAACAAAAAGCCGAGTAGACAAGCCGCAAAACAAAAACAGAGTGTGGCGAACAATAACAAGCAGTCACTTCGACGCCCGGGATGAGGAAAACCTGCCTCGTTGGAAAGGGAGGGCGAGTGAAAAGCGGACTGGATAGTGCTGTAAAGCAAGCAAGGACCACGAGTCGACTTCGGACTAGATCTTCGAAAATCCACGTAGGAAAATTAACCCGGACAACGAGTGTGACCTTTTCCTTCCCAGGAGTTCGATCGACGGGGGAGTGCAGCGACTATGACGACAGGCGGAAACGAGGTGAGCTCCTGCTGTAGCTGTGCGTCGGGAGGGATAATCTTGTTCGCAGACAGACACGCAAGGGCCGCGACAGTTTCCAAGACACGGCGGATTAAGCAGAGACCGGGGAAGGGCGGGAATGAGCGCAATGCAGGCCGTGTCGGTTTATGAGAAGTGATGTTGTGTAATGCTATGCTAAGCTATTCAAGTCAATTGCCACCAGCAGCAATGAGTGAACGATTGGATAGCTCCACCAGGGTTTAGATGGAGAAAGGGGAAGATAATCGGTAGTGATGATGTATATAGTATAGTGAGTGTGTGAGGTGAGAGTGGAGGAGGAGGAGGGGGTGGGTGAAGGTCAGTGAAGAGGGAAAAGAGCGGGAAAGAGAAGAGAGAGAGTGAGTGGATGTCAGTCCGTGTATGTATGTAGTCGGATGTCCGTGTGTAGGTAGCGATGTGACGAGATCGAGTCAAACGAACGATATTGAGGGGAACGGTCCAAGGACAAGGAACCAGGGAAGTACCTGGTACTAGCCCACTACTAACAACCTGACGGAGAACGGGGACGAGCAGGAGCAGTTCTCCAGACTAGTTGGTGCGGTGACTGGCCTAGAAGAGTGGATAGCAAGCACTGGTGGTTATCCACAGAACCGGTGGATATGACTCGATTCGGATGTGGAGCAGACGATCGGTACCCCTTGTGCACCTTGAGGTCTGTTTGGACAGACAACAATGAGGGAATGGCAAAAAAAAATAATTAAATAGAGAAAACCAAACTGAACCACGGCTGAATGAATGGATTGATGGGACAGATTGATTGATTAATGTCGTGCGCGCACATGTATGAGTTGAGGAGAAGGAGAAGAGAACGCGCAATGATAAGGGTCGTGTCCAGTCTGTCAAAATAATATACTGAGCTAGCGGTGCTTGCCTTCGGTATACAATCATCCCATCAAAAATCTCATAAAAAGCAATTAATAAAAAAAATACCCATTTACAGTGCACTCACTCCCCTGTTCGATCCTTTTTTTTTTTTTTTTTCTATTTCTTATTTTTATTTTTATTTTTCCTTATCCCAGTCGGAATCGAGTCTGGTCTGGTCTGATCTTTATTTTTTCTTTTTCTTTATTTTCGTTCTTTCTATTCTTTCTAATTTTCATTTTCTATTCTATTTTTCCCCTACGACCTATTCATGTGCAGTAGTAGTATTTTCTTATTTTCGTCTTTTCATTTTCTCGGTCTTCTATTTTTTATGTTTTCCCAGTTATTTTGATTTTCCCCTTTTTCTCCCCCAAACTGCCTTTTTCCGAGGAAACCCAAAACCAACCAGTGGCCGCCCAAACGCACGCAGCTAACCTTTTAGTCCTGCCTAAACGGTTATGATCTGCCATCACACAACCGGTGCCAGTTCCAGGGTGCTACTACTACGGCACGACCTATCTATCTGTCCAATCCATCATGCAATGTAATTTTTATTTTTATCTAATTTGCCTCCTTTCTCCCCGTCCGATAAATAATAATAAAATAAATGATAACAATAAAAAAAATTAATCCCACCCCATGATATGATCGCGATCGCGATACTCCTCCATCCCAATCTCCAGTGGTTTGTTTCTCCGGAATTGAACTAAACCTGAAATAAATAAATAGTATACCACTATACTTCTTAGTTAGAACACGTACGTACTTTCCAGAACCTAAGTAGTGTAGTAAGTAGGTAAGTTTACTTGTGTACTTAACACAAGCCCATCATCCACCTAAAGCCTACTAGCCACCTACACTACCAATAACTGGCGGACTACTAGTGCGGAAGCCCGTCCTGTCAAGTCAAGTCAATCAGTCAATCAAACCAAACTCAGGCAGGTAGGTGTAAGTAGGTCTCCGTCAGCATATTAAAAACGGCCACAGCGGACCTTCCCTTTTCCTTTTTTTTTCTTTTCTTCCCTCCCCCCTACCAGTACTATGGCTTGGCTCTCGGCAATGTAGTACGTACGTACTTTTGAGGGGTAAAAGGATGAATCAAAAAGGAAGGGGAAGACAAATAAGAAAAAAGAGTCTGCTTACACCATCCGTACTACTTGTGTTTAGTGCGTGCAAGAGCACTTTGACAGGCGGGCAGGCAACAAACCCCCTCCTTTTTTCCTTCCTTCCTTCCATCCTTCCTCCTTCTCCAAATTAATAACGCGCGAGCTATAGTATTCTTCTAATTTTGATTCGACTCGAATACTAAAATCAAAAAATAAAAATAAATCCTTCTATCCACTGATCTTTCGTTGAATAGATTAAATTTAATATATACGGATTGTCTTTTAATTTATGCAAGCACATCATCCTTTTTGTCTCTCTCTACGAATCTTCTTTTTCTCTTTGGAGTTGCCGCTAAACCTCGTTAGGGCAGGCCCACCGAGATGGAGGATTGGTAAGTGGGGATAAAGATGGACTTTGTGTATGGACAAACAGGGGTTTGAGTTTGAAGGGCCCAGTATTGCTGGCAGTAGTTTGGCCTGTCTAACTAACTCCGTAGTCTAGCTACTACTTACTTAGTAGTAGTACTGCTGGAAGAAGAAAGATGATGATGAAAATGATGCTGAGATATATAGTTAGTAAGTGATAAGTAATAAGAATTGACTCTCTTTATTTTCTTTTACTTTCTGTCTGAGCAATTTATGTATGTATGTCTATATGTATGTATGTATTCCTTTCGGGTCGCTACTTACCTTAGTAACCGAACAAACATACTTTAAGTGGTGGCAAAAAAAAGCCACGGCATCCCCTCACGTTTGTATACGCAGCTCTTAATCAAAGTCACGTCTCCCCCTCTCTCTCTCTCCGAATTGAAGGAAAACAAGCACCTCGTCACGGTGGTTACTGAATCCCTCATAATCTTGAATCCGGGGTTACCATCAATTGAAGCAGAGATGGAAGAACGGAAACGATTAGTAAGAGAAATAGTACGAAAGTATGGGGGAAAAAGCACACTGAGTTGAGTGGAAAGTCAAAAGTCGGAAAAGTCGAAATTTTGGGACGTCGCAGACTGGATGGGGGAGGAAAGGAGGAGACTCGACAAGAGATCGACAAGGCAGTAACCATCCCACTGGGACCTCTCGAGAACTTTCTCGAGGCCATCATGCACTGCTGGCTTTACTTTTTCCTATTCCCACAGCCCATCCTGTAATTGATTGGTCGGGTACTTTTTGGATGTTTCAATTGCCTCGACAGCTTCCGCAGCGGCCCGTTCTGGCTGCTTGCTGTACAGTATCCTCTTTGGGATTACCCTGCGTGTTCGGCCTAGGCATCGAGATAGTTATTCGGTGTTCAGCTTTTCGCCTCTTGCTGCTAGTCAGCCGGTCCACAGAGGCGAACTTCAAGCAAGCAATCAAGCGAGCAAGATCCCAGAAAGAATAGGGCAAAAAAGGAAACCTAGCCAGTGGCGATCTAAAAATTCAGGATTATCCGAATTGAGCCCTTCTTACTTGGGTTACTTGTTACCTGGTGGAAAAAAACTAGTGCAGAGCACCATTGGCCGAGAAAGTAACGGCCTCGAAATAGAAACCGATGGACGACAATCCGCGTCAATCAGGGCCCGGCAAAAGAAGGGAGAGAGGAGCAGCCAAGATGAGGGGCCAATAGGATGAGAAAGTGACCTATCGACTGTCACGGGGAAACGGGCAAGCCAGAGCAATGAAAAAAGGATGAAGACTAGTAAGGATGCATCATTCCCTCAATCCCGACCCACAGGCTAATCCACTGCCGAGCCAACGAGCTCTCCCAAGCTGCTGGCCCGGCTTTCTTGTCGTTTCTGACGGCCGGCGAGAAGCTCCAGGCTCAATTCTTAGCTGTGCGGATACCAGTACTATGCAAGTAGGGTTTCGGGATGATCACACAAGAGAGACATGGCCAAGTCGAGCATTTTCGAGCATTTCCTAGGTCATGAACTTACTAACTCGGTCGGTTACGCGGTTCCATGGAACCAAATCGATATCGGATAACAACCAGCCAATTGCCGATAGTAACATCGAGATCACAACAATTGGAGCAACAAGTAGAGCTCCTCAATTCTAGTCGCACAATCTTTGCGAAGGGATTCACATGTCTCACCTGATGACCTACCATGTGTACTCTATTCTGTACCTGCAGTCCAACCCTGTCTGCAGTGCAGCAAGTGAAGTGTGCAACTGTGACGGCGATCCAGATACGTAGTAGTTCTGTAGGGCGGTGACTGATCTCCTCTCCCGATTGTTAATGAAACAAATGTACACACCTACGTCAGTGGGTAGACAATCAAGTCACATTGAAGCTAGCATCTCCAGATTGCCTGTGCACAGATTTGAGGGAAGTTATTTGTGGCACCGGATTATCTACGACGCAAGGGCAATCGCGCACAGCCTTAGTTACTGCGTACCACTTACCCCCGCCTGTGCCCGTATCCACCACCGATCGATATATAAAACCACGCTTACAAATGCATCATTACATAGGCTCATGAAACTCATAACTAATAATAATGATCTCCATTGCTTTCAAGACACGAGAGAACTAGATGATGCATCATGCATTGTCTACATTCGGCTTATAATTCCGTGGGAGTAGACAGATGGCTTACTTAGCCACCTGATTATTGATTCTCCATACTTAGGAACCGGACCATTGCCACTCCGATGTCCACACATACACACATGGTATGGAATCTCCGAGGTATAGCTACTACTATGAATCATGATGAACCGAGGACTCAACTACCTCTCTCTCTCTCTCATCTACAAAATAAGTCACTACTACTAGTCACCTCCCCCCAAATCATACCCGTAGATCTTCCCTTGGCATTGTCACTACACATTCTTTGTCGTGTTGAATATTTCCTTTTTGGTGGCGTACGTCTCTTGAACTCTATACCCTCTTCACTTTCACTTTCACTTTCACCCTGTCCTTCTCCTTCTCCTTCTCCCCCGCGCGCTCAGATACGACACTAGCCAGTTAGTACCATTACCCAAGCGAACCGTGACATCCCGCCTAAGAAAACGGGCTGATAACTATCCATCCGACTATCTATCAGGCAAAGAAGCAATCTCAGATAAGCAAGCATGCAGATAGACAGATATCTGTACGATGTATCGCGAATCCCCCACACAGCCATCATTCATTAGTGCATACATACGTACGTACCCAAATATGAGCCGATGAGATGAGGGGGGCGCAGCGCGATAATTCCTTCTGCCGCAGGAGTCCGTCAGCTTGGTTCTCGGGTCTGATCGCCACGATTTGATCGGGGTGCGCATACATGAGGGGGGATTGGACTTACTAGTTTGGATCTCGCATGCATGGTTAGTTGGGTGAAGATTGGGAGGAGGTGATAGGTATGAAGTCAGTAGTACTGTAGTAGTATAGTAGTATGTCTAAAGTAGGTCTAGGTCTAGGTCTAGTTTGTATGTAGGCTAGGTGGCGGTGGTTAGTGTTACAGTGCGTAATGCCAGATCGAGTAACTCTTCCTGTCGGAATGAAGTCCGCGTCTTCCGTTTAGTTTTGTTATTTAATGAGTGACGCTTATACGGCGTATAGTAGTTCCCGTGTCGATTAGGTTCGAAGTCAGACGAGGAACAAAGGAATCCTGAGACGGGATGAATGAAGTACGACGCCGGTTTTGGTGCTACTGCTACTGCTACTATACTATGACTTAGTTGTTATTACTACCTTGGCCCCCATTTCTACGAAGGGAATAACGGGTCGTAAACGGATGATTTCCGACTACTTCCCGTGGTACAAAGGAATGATCATCACACTATATATACTATGTGGGCATTAAGGCATGAAGCCGGCGTTGTCCCACAGGCACACCACTCAAACACAGCAGCCGTAGATAGTCAGTTGGTCAGTTAGTTACTTAGTTAGCTCAAAGGACGTGCTGACTGCTGACACCCGACCGTTGATGCCGGCAAGCTTGAGTCCAGACCAAAGGAGCGCTAAATCCGAGTGGGAATTTCCCGTATGGGTTTAGGTTGACGGGTTAGTTGAGGGCAAAGCGGTCATCCTTTCTCCAGGATCCCCTTTCGAACAAAGGGAGTCTCATTCAGGCTCAGCTGCTGGAGGACAAGGCTTGTTCATCCGCCAGGTCTAGAAACAACACGTGCCCGTCGCTGTATGCGGGACTAATTTGGTGAGGGGTTGGCTTGTAAACTAAACGAGGGTCAATGCTACTTCTTCCCTGTCACCTTGCCTTAGCGAGTATATATCTCCTTGGGTTTCGAGGAAGTCGGTTTGCAGATCCCACGGTGATCAGATACCACAGGGCTCAGCTACGAACAATGCGGCTAGGACCGAGGAAAGACCAACATCAATGCATCAGCCGTTCTGGAGCCAGAACATCAAAGCATTCCCTGAAAGAGGGGGTGATTGTGTTGCTAGACAGGCCAAGTATAGTATGCGCCTAGACTAGCAGCAGCACAAGAACGACAACGGGATCTGCTCTGGCTCACACATACTAGAACCGAACAGGACTGACTCCGAAATTACTTTGACCTCATTAAATCACTCTGGTGGATGGCAGGCCCAGGAATCCCCACCGCTAGGCACTAAAATTGTTAGATTCCGTCTCTCATCCATCGCCCGTTTTTAAGGACGGGATGCTCGGTGTGAATCACTTCCACTGCGACAGCTCTTCCCCCCACATAGGAAACCGCAGCAACGCGGGACGGCTCGAGTCACAACTGAACCTGAGCCCGCCCAAGGCTAGCCGTGTTCTGTTCTAGTCTTTCCCCTGTGCCGGCGGAACGAAATGGATAGGAGGAGGCGTTCCCTGGATGAACGCGGATTAACCGACCGCGTCGCGTCGGGAGGGAGAGACGATCCGTCTGTCGCGGGCGTGGATGAATGTAGGGTACGTATTCAGTAGGATCGTGTGTAGGGATCGTGTAAGTGACCCGATACTTCGCTAGTAGCCTTATCACTTCAGGGGTTTAAGGAAGGGGAATTCCACGGGGTCTGTCTCCTTTGGGAGGAGGCAGTTGTGTCTTTCCTTTCTTTTTTTCGTGCCTGCGCGGCTGCCTGAGATCTCAGGAATCCTCACGTGTCGGATGATCAGGTGGTTTGGAAGATATACTTTCTTCATCACTTCCTTGGATTTCATTTCCGACCATCACATCACACTGATCGTCCTCCTTGCTCGATCTTGCTATTCGCTTCCTGTATCTACTCGTCTTGTCGTCTATCCACGAGCAATGTGCCACGGCCGACTCTTCCTCCTGCCTGACTGCATATCCGCCAATAATCCCTTTACCCTCCCGCCCCATCGGCCCACAGTCGAGCACATCTGGATCTTCGGTCGCTAATGGAGACGTGAAACAGAGCGAGATGCTATTCCCATGGTACGCTGTACTCGCTACTCAGTTTGCGGAGTATCGGCCATCTATCTGAGAACCCGTGGAACCGTCCTGCCGACAGAGCATTAACTGGATCAATCTGATCGAGTCGCAAATGTGGAGCCCTCTTTCCGATAGTCGAGATCGAGTGCGCGCATCTGGTCTACTCCGTATGTAACTGCTCGTGGCTTGGAGCACACACCAGCCGTCACTTTGACAGGATCTGGCTCCTCGTGCGTCTAGATCGACCGCCATTGTATCCTGGCTCAATGTGCATGACAGCGCACGCTCGACGGGCTGATCTGATCCACAATGACTCCTACACTGACATTTCCGGCCACAGCATATCGAGCACGGAGTAGATAGATCAACTTCATGCTCTCTGACACTAGGATGGCCAAGTCGCCGACAACGCACAGCAGACTAAGTGGATCCTCATCGCCAATGATACCTCTTCAGACCAAAGAGCGAATTAGCGGTATATCCTTCCAGCCATTGCCCCGTGCCTCTCCACTCATGGACTCAATGCCTTGATTTCACACGAGCGCACGGCCATCCGAAGAACCAGAATTAGCACCATACAATGTTCAACAAAGTACGTTCTATCTTGCTTTTTGGAAATGGAACGCTTCGTGCATTACCGCTCGCCCGCGCGATTAAATTCTTCAGGGACCTGCATGTAGCCTGGATCCAACTAGTAGGTAGCTATCTGTTTTCTTCTGTCGTGGCGTCCGGACTACT